CTTGAATTTGGGAGTATGGGAAACGACATGGGAGAAGTCCGAGGAGGGATGGAAGGTGGAAGTGATGTAGATACAGTGCCCATGTATGAAGTTCTCAAAACAAAATCAAATCAATAAAAACAATGTAAGGTTTTGTGTCCACAGCCTCATACAGTCTGTCTCGTGAGACATTAATATTCTCATATTACACCATGGAAGTAAAATAGGAAGTGAATTCTGCATTCACTGTTTCCCAGACAGGTTTGTACGAAATCTCTGATTCCCAAAAGCAGTATGTTATCATCAAAGACTGCAACCTTTCCTCAGTTCTCTTCAGGGATGTGGCCACTGAAAGACTATCCATCCATGCCCCAGGAGACTCCCACACCCATTCATATACACACAGCACAAAGTGTACTCGGTGGGTTAGAAAAAAAATAGAAGAGCACATGAAGTTGGGAGAGAAAAGTGATGATGAAGAGGGAGAGATTTGGGGGGGGCGATAATGGAGGGTGAATTTGATCAAAACACATTAAACGTGTATATAAAATTCTCAAACAATAAAAAAAAAATCTACCCTTTCCAAATAGCCTCACTAAGTCCCTTTAAGTTTGTTCTGGAAGTTTTGTGTTTATTTTTAGTTATAATCCATGGCCTTTCAGCAGCCCCTGTGTCGGGTGGTCATTTCCCCTCCCAGCCTCCTCCTCATTTGGTAAATGAAGTGAGATGAGAGCCGGGCCTTGGGGTCAGTTCTAATGTACCCCAAGTCTTGACTGCTCAGTGACAGCTGAATGGTTTATATGTAACAAAGTGTCCTGATGTAATTTGATGAACAGATAGTGATTATTAATCCACCCCACACTTTGCAAATTTAGGCAAACTAGAGAAATTTAAGAGATGTGTAGCCAGTTTCTAAGAGTTTTCTTTGAAGTCCCATGCTTACCTACACAATACTATGGAAATTTTAACGTGCTTAAAACTTACTGTAAGAGAGAAATACACTGCCGAACTTCCCTATGAAGTTTGAACAGCTCATTGAACGCAGGGTGGAACATTCTATGATCCAGGACACAGCTTCATCAATGGTGGGTCACAATCTCATCTGTGGGTCACTAAACTGTGGGGGCCATAGAAAATCTGGCAACAGTAAAAGGTTTATGATTGTGCAATGAGCAAAAATTAATTCAAAACCAACGTGTAGTGATTACAAGATGTTTCTGGCAGTGCCTACTCATGTTGTATTCTACAATTTCACTGCAGACTTGGTTCTGATTATGCAACCAGAACACTTGGTTTTGGTGCATGCCTTCATGTTACACAATACCAACACCCTGGCTAAGATTTAAGGCTACTGTATGTTACACAACACCAACAACTATCATCTGCAACAACGTGGCTAAGATTTGAGGCTATTCTATGCAAAGAATTGCAGTGCTTTTACTGTAGATACACAATTTTCTGCTACTGTAGAAACTCAAATGAAGCAATCACAGAAAACAAAGATTTTAATAGTTTTGTCATTCTTCATCATATAAGTATCAGATTAGTATATCTCTGGATTATATGTTAGAATTATTAATTTTTTAATTGCTGTTATAAACACATCTGTAAACTCTGGAAAACCCTGAAGATGATCTACACCCTGCAGCATAAAATATCCAGCCAGGATTTAGTTCTTTGTGTGTAATTAAACAGGCACATGCATCTCAATGGTATGCGTGTTTGCTTTCATCTTTAACAAGTGGTAAAATTACATGCATGCCAAAAACTAATGTAAGTTTCTGGGCTAGGTAGATAGTTCAGTCTAAAGTACTTGCCTTTCAAATACAAAGTCAAGAGTTCAACCCCCAGAACACATGTTTTAAAAGCTAGACCTGAGGGTGAGACTGAGGTAGTCAAATGCCTGGAGTTTGCTGGCCAGTCAGCCTAGCCTACTTGATGAGTTCCAGGCCAGTGAAGGGCCCTACCTCAAAAGAAAAAATGGCTGGAACCTGAGACCTGACCTCCACAGACATGCATACGCACAAGCATGTGCACCTGTACACATGTGCACCTGTACACACATGAGCATGTAAACACACGCATACACACATGCAAATAAGATAAAATGAATCTCTTTGATTTATTATCAGTAGATGTTTAACTTGTGTACCTACTCCATATCTATGTATCCAGAATTGTACAAATCTTTCTTAGGCAAAGGGGGCTGTGAACAGAAGGTCTGGCCTAGGAAAGGTCTTGGAAGACTGGTACAGGAAAGCTTGAATCTTAAAGGATATTCCCGGGACTTTCTGAAAGATGGGGCAATGTAGGGAGTAAGGTGCTTGTGAGAGCTTGTTCCCAGCCCCGTTACCTCCCTCACTTCCCCGTCTCACAGGAGTCTGGAAGATAGGATTCTCTGGCCTTGTGGGACATGCTCTTCACAGCAGTATACCTGTAATGCCTTTTGCTAAATTCTAGCCTGACAACCCAATCTCCAGTAACCTTTCCATTACTGTTGCCCGGGTAATTGTCTCACTTTGCACAGGCAGAACCACCTAAGGCAGCAGCTCTCAGAGCTTGGAGATTTAATGTCTGCTGTATATTCCAACTATTTGGTCAACTTTTTTTTTTCCCGATCTGTAATGAAATTGGTAGGAAAATGTAACTGACATACCCTTTACAGAATGTTCAGATCATTTTAAAGACTAAAGAAATGTTAAAGCATTAATTTACCTGTAGTAAAATCACATATTTTTGGAAAGACACCAGAAGGTATGATGAAGCAGCCAGCGGTCACTGTGTGTTTAGATCTACATGGGCTGACAGACCAAGTCCCAGTCACTGCTCACTGAATGCCGGAGCATCCCCACTCAATTTTTGTATTACACACTCTGTCCTTACTTTTTCAAAAATGTCTTCATAAAACTTATATTAATGATTCCAAAGGGGAAAGTTACCAGCCTCAGAAAGTATTTCACCACCCACAGCTTCTTCCAACTACTTTGTTCTTTGTTTTCCTTCAGAATTTTTAAATATAAATATCATACTGCATTACAATAATCTTAGCAATGGCTATGTGTGTATCACATGTCAAGCCTTTAAAAATATTTTTGTGTTTGTTAAGTTATTGGCTTGCTTAATCTTAATAACTAACTATAAATACTATCATTCTCCATGAATATTTGGCACTGTATAACTTGTTCTAGAAATAATGTCTCATGATTATCATAAGGTTGAATTTCATTGTGAGAAAGAAAAGTGGCAGAATGCAATGATGCCTCTTCATCTAGTGCCTTCCTATCTAACTGATTATCATAGTAAGCCAAGAGGCAGCTCTGTCCTTTGGGGAAGAGATCTATTGGCAACAACATGGTGTTTCTTCCTCATGTGCCTGTCCATCTGAGGGTTTGAAATTTGAGTTCCAGGTTTCCATTTGCTTTATACTTTCAGGCTTTGAGGGTATACAGGTGGTTTGGGACATCATATTTTCATCCAAATGTCTCAGAATGGATTCTTTCTTCTTAGTGTTCCATCAAAATAAAAAACATTGTAGATCCACCATTTGGTTTGAAAATTATTTTCTAAAGTGAAGATTTGGACTGAAATTTTTCCCCTGAACTATTCTTTCATTGTCAAATGTCTTGTTCCCAAACAGAACTGTTTCAAATTAATTAAAATGATGCATTTTAGCAGTCTGTGGGCAAAGTAGAGGGAGAGTGTGACCATTTTACCAAGAACACGGTGTGGTCAGGTATCTCCCAATAATGGTAAGAAATAGTCTTATGTCACCCAGCACACAGGAGGCAGAGGCAGGCAGATCTCTGTGAGTTCGAGGCCAGTGTGGTCGCCAAAGCGAGTTCCAGGAAAGGCACAAAACTACACAGAGAAACCCTGTCTCAAAAAAGAAAAAAGAAAAAAAGAAATAGTCATATGTCGTACTGGAAGATAAATGCATTTGTTTCTGTCCCTGGAGACAGCCAAAGAACTGTCTTAACTGAGCACTAGTTAATGATATGAGTTGGAGTCTACCATCTTGAGGCTTCTTACACTGTAAAGGCAGAAAAGAAAACTAATCCAAACAAATCTACATATATTCCTTTTGCCTTACAGAGGGAAAATGATCCCATCTGATCTTGAAAGAAGAATCCTTGAAGTCAAACAGAAAGTAAGTTTTTGTAAGGATCTCTGACCCATAGCGATGTGTATTTTGATCTATAACCAAGGAAAAGTCACTTAGGTTTTGCTTGTAAAACAGGACCTAAACTCCAGTCTCCAAGCTTTAACAAGAATATGAAATTTTTCAAGCAATCACCATATTGGTCTCCAAGTATATGTATATGTATATGATGTATATATATATGTGTATGTATATGTATATGTATATATGTGCTTTATAAAAGTTTAAGTTGCTGCATAGATCATCTATACAGAGACAGGTTCTAACGCCCTCTCCAGGCTGCATTTGGTTCTAGGCAACAACCTTTCTCACAGCTAAGGGCTGGCATGCTTATGCAGCATGTGAATGACTGTCACATGGAATTTGGAGAGAGCCATATTAAACCATATATCTGATTCTGAAGACACAAATTTAGAACTCTTTTAGAAATGACAAGACAGGCTAGGGATATGACTCAGATGGGAGAGTACTTGTTTAGCTTGCAAAAAGCCCTGAGTTGATCCCCAGCATCCAAGTGTGGTCAAAACAGAAAAGTCAGAAGTTCAAAGTCATCCTCAGCTCCATGTGGGGTTTGAGGCCATCTTGGAACATATGAAATCATGTCTCAAAAATATAAAATAAAATAACAATATCCATCAAAGAATATGCCCTTGGACAGTTTGCAAGTCAGACATTGCAATGTCTGGTTTAACAGTAGATATAATTACTATGTGCTTAGTAGTAATCATTTATTTTCATATGCCTTCTTTTTCTCCTACAGCTTTCTTGATTAGAAAGGGGACTAGTAATACAAACCATAAGATTAAACCTTTGCTGCCACCTAAAGACAAACTCTGAAACCTCAGGGTCTATAAACCAACAGAATGGCCAGGACAGCCTGGAGTGACTGCATGGAGCTGATCGTAACTGTGACATTCTTCCACCCTCTCGTAGCCATATCCTATTATTTAAATAAATTTTCACATTGCCACGGCTTGGAGAATGTTTAGCCCCATGTGAAGCCCCCCCCCTTCTAATACCCCCAAATAAATCACCTGAGCTAGCCCACATAGGAGCATGGGCTGGCAGGGTCCTTCTTTGCCCCACCCTTCTTCCCACTGGTCCATGCTAAGGGAGGAGTTAGGTTCAGGTGTGAAGAAGAAAGAGTAGAAATAAGCAAAGAAAATAAGAAGGGTCATCCAGTCTACCTGAAGTATGTAAACGGCTTGGGGACACCACCGAAAACCTCCAGTGCAGCAAAGCCAGGGCTGCTAATTGCTGCTGTCACAGGGCAGCCGTCGGGTGCAGTGGAGCGGAGAGCTCGGAATCTTGGAGGAGTCATTGGTTGAACCAATCTAGAGTGATGATGACTCTTGTGACGGTTAAAAACAATGCACATGGTAGGGGAGAGTTGCTGTGTTTTTAACCAGCTCCCTGGAAGCAGCCTTGGGTCCTAGTTGTGGTGGCCATGCCCATAGTGCCAGCACTCAAGAGACTGAGCTGGGAAGGTTGTCACATACTGAGACCGGTCTACACACTGAGTTCCCAGGGAGACAGGGCTGCATAGCAAGACCTTGTCTCAAAAACTTAATGAGTAAATAAACCCAGAGCCCCTGTTTACACAATCGGGCTTTCTTGTTTTTGTAGGGATTTGTTCCTTTCCTTGTGAGCGCCACAGCTGGAACCACTGTGTATGGGGCTTTTGATCCCCTCTTGGCTGTTGCTGACATTTGCAAAAAGTATAAGATCTGGATGCACGTGGATGTAAGTACCCCTCAGCGACTACCCATTAAATACCTTTGCATGGTTTTTAGATGAGACTCATGGAATACGATTTGCATTCTCTCTCTCCCTCTCCGTCTCCCTCCCTCTCCCTCCCTCTCCCTCTCTCTCTCTCTCTCTCTCTCACACACACACACACACACACACACACACACACACACACACACACACACGCCTCCGTTGTACTGAGAAACTCCAAGAAAAACTCTACAAGCATCA